TGCCCCCCCCCAGCAGATCAGGGAGACGCGGAGCAAAGCGGCGGAGGACCCGGGCCGGACCGTGGTGCTTCCAGATCAGCTGGAAGCGCCGCGGGTCCGGCCCCGGGTCCTCCGCCGCTTTGCTCCGCGTCTCCCTGGTCTGCTGGCTCCCCAGCAGACCAGTGAGACGGGGAGCAGCTTTTCTCGCCCCGGAGGAGGCAGGCAGCGGGACCAGGCGTCCTGCCGCTCCAGTCCTCCGGGGTGAGAAAATCCCCGTTCGTAACTGCGGATCTGACATAAGTCGGATCCGCGTAACTCGGGGACTGCCTGTATTCAATTGTATACTTTGTGACAATGGATAAAAAGTATTCTCAAAACTATTCTAATAGCAAAAGGTAAAAGCCCAAATTCCCAAACTTTAATGAGAGAAGGATAGAGGACCCTTAATGCTATTAGTCTTTCAATATAAAATGCCCTAAATTACTTTCTTCCCTTTTGTCTGGTGCTTTCAAGTATCTATGAATGGCACTTAATGGAAGCAAAAAGTTCTAAATCTAAATTTATACAGAAACACAAAATAAAGTAAATTTATGCTAATTTAGCCCATTCTTCGACTTGGATTTATATAGAGCATTCGTTCTTGGGAAAATGCTGTCTTAATTTATCTTCCCTTTTTATAACTTCCATGGAGCCCCACCAATCCTCTGCAATCCCCTCCCCTTTGTCTCTGGGTGCATTTGCTGGAGACCTGTGTGTTTCAATTATCATTTTCATGCCAGTACTTTTTATTTCTGTCCAGTCCCCTGCTACCCGAACTTACATCTCAGCCAGTCTCTCCTGTATATCTCACCATCATCTTCATAACTAGCTCTAATTATCAATCTCAACAGAAAGGCTGAAGACAGAGACTAGATTACATTCTATTCATTTTAAGTGGAACAAAGCTGAAGTACATTGGTGGGCCCATTAACACCGACACTACCCATACTTGAGGAGTTCTATGGTATAAAATCTTCATTCTCCAGAACTGCCAAACATCTCCTATTGTAGTGCTTCATTTAAAAAAAAAAGTATTTTAAATGGGTTTGGATGAAGTGATTTTCATGTTCTAATCTCAGGAATGTGACTCCTTTATTCATTTTGTATGTTTTGCTCTATTTATTGCTCTGCACCTCAGTAGCAGAGTTTTGGTCTTTCATCTCGGCGTATATAGCTCCCTCTTGAATCAATAGGATTCGGCTGTATGAATCAACAGGAATCTAGATGAAATCCATTTGTTGGGTTATTCAAAAGATACAAAGCTCCACTGTACATTTGTTCTTTGATATATCGAAAAGCACAATCAGTGGCTAGTTTTTGTGTATCAAGAGTCATTTCACCCCACAGAA